AAATGTTACAATGGGAATTTTCCATGAGTTAAAATATAGACTTATACAGTTCACCAGTCCTATTTTCACTGACACAGAGCGGGATGATCGGAAGTGCAAATATCGGTTTGAATGTATGATACCATATTAGTTTGTTTATTAGATGTATCACACAGTGAAACAGTGTTATTATTTACTGGATGATACAGTTTCGAACACAATTTATTATTGTTCATAATCATATCAATTGTAATCACACGACCTCGAAACTAGAGTTTTATAGTTTTCTTTGTCATATGCTATTTGTCGTATGGGAAGTAGAATTTTCGAGATATCTGGCTGGACAGGTTCTAAATGACACTCATTACACGTATTCTCTTAAGTTGACTCGATAAACAAAGCTTCTGTTATCAATCTCTCCCTCCACCCTGTGATATTAGATTTTAAAACTGTCATCTTATCCCATTCTATTGCATGGTTGGGTGGGTGCAACTGCATGTAGTGAGTGCCATAGCTGAACTATTCTCTAGGTTTCTTGTCTTATTTGGGTCAATCAATCTAGATTTTGATGGGATTTTATGTTCAGCTGGTCTGACTGCCCTGTTTCTACTAGCTTGACCTATGTATTTGACCTGACAAATCAAACAAACAAAATTGTTTTGTTTTAGATGCTGCACAAGATTGATCCTTTAACCGACAAAGCTTGTTTCTAATTTAGTTTGTGGGTGGTTTGAATGCCAGTCACTTTTATTCCTACCCGCCTTATTAAGAATTCTGTGTAATGATTCTGAGGTTCCTTCCTTGTATGGAATTACTATTGATGATTTAGATTCCTAATTGTTGGTGTTGTCATTATCCTGCGCATTATATTTGACATGAATGCCGTCATTAATGTTTTTTTTCGAAACGTCATCCAGTGAATTAAAATACTGTTTTACTAAAGTGATACATCTAATAAACGAACAAATATGAACGATTCAACCCCTGTCAAATCTTTCCCACTAATAGTCATCCGTGTTGGTTGTTGTTGACGGGTTATCTTCATCACTTCCGTCCTTCCTATATTTGCATGTGTAGTCGAGTCTTCACTGCTTCTCCAACTAGTTGATTAATTTTCGCCTGCCTGCAAGTCTTCCAATTTGTGTGAAATGAGATATAAATCATATACATGCGAAATCTAGATATTCTGGAGTCTTCATATGGGTCCACTCAACGTATTTCTATCTTCTCATTTATATGCACAGTTTGACACTTCATGCAATGGCATTAGGCAGACATCGCTTTCTTGACCTTGTATTCACTCCAAAGGCTTGGCCAAGTTCTCTGCTGTAGATCAGATGACTAATGACATTGTCCTATAAGCTACTGAATGGGACAAATAAACGTCTGAGGTACTCCACAGTTCATGAAAAATCCCCATTTAAACATTAATAGTTAGAAGACCAGTAGTTCAGTGAAGAGTCTGTTTTAGGCGGCGGCGAGTTCATTTTTATAGCTGTACAATCTCAAATATATATGTGGTTGTTTTGTATGGTTGTGTACACTAAATCTGACAAACGAAAATACAATTAGTAAGTTCAAATGTTATGGATGTCCGTATTAGAGGGTAGTAACAAAAGTGATAAGTTGTTCTCCAGTCACCCACTGATCTTTAGAAGCTCAAAGGACAAGATCCCGCACCTAACCACTTCAGTGTGCATATATCAGTTCACTTTTTGCTCTGGAGCCAGGCACATCGGTCGTTCAACGCGAATCCTGTCAAAAAGGGTCAAAGAAAACTATCCAAAGTGTGGCTGCAGAAAGTAGGTAGTGGCTGTATAAGGAGTGCAATAATCTAACATCTCCTCAACAGTGGTTATTCCATTTCAATAAACACCTCCTGCTTTAAAGTAATCTACAAGTGAAGAACAACCTGCCAAAGACAATACGTTTCCGCATTTTTTGCATTGCAGAAGCCCTAACTATTCAGTTAGAAGGACCAGAACGATGTATACAAAAGAAAATTATTCAACCACTTCTACTGTCATAGTAACTAACAACTCCGTTGATTTGACTTAACTTTTGCTTGTATGCTTATTTTTTTTCTAACTACTTAAAACTCTTGCGTAATTTTGTAGATTATTTTGTTTCCATGTACACCCTGAGAACAACTCTTCCACCAAACTATTCACATTACCTCTTCTTTAACAATCATTTATGACAACTCATCACTTTTGTTACTACCCTCTTATATCAACATTCAATTCATCTGAACTTACTAATTGTATTTTCGTTTGACAAACTTAATGAGCGATTGTACTCTGCAGTGTTGAAGTAGTCCCCAAATGTTTTGTTTTAATTCAACTTTGTTTCCCGATGATCCGATTCGTTCCCCTCTTCCTCACTGATATACATTTCTATTCATGGCCTATTTTATGACTGTAGGGCGGAAATATAAATAAAAAGCCAATTAAGCAATGAGGCGTCACGTCTTTCATTTGAAAACTTTATCACTTATCTGAGTCGTGTAATGTATTTGCGCAACACGTTTCAAACAATCTGATCTATCACACACGGCCTTGTCATAGGAATGTGTATATATGAAATTAATAAAGAGGTAAGAGGTGAGAAAATAGACCACTTAGGTCAAGTTTAAAGGACATATTCAAGGTTAAAATAACAACGAAGACTACTAAAGCAAATAGCAGAGGTAATAGTACATCGGCTAGGGTATAAAAACAAAATTTACCAAGGAAGGTGGTTTAATGTGATGACGAATTGTTGCTTTGAACGCATAAAGGTGGTTTAAACTTTCTAATTGCCAGCTAGGACTTCCACAAACATTAGGATACGCTCCAAACACGTTTTATAGACAGGTTTAAAAGATCTATTAACGTCAATTTCCTGTCCTGTCTCTATAATATGTTTCGCAATAGAAGAGCTAGGTCTCATGTTTTCACTATTAATGGGTTCTGAAGATTACATTTTCTTCTGAGATCATTCGGGAGAGTATGCTCTGAAGCCATCTCTTACTTGCAGAGATCGATGACTCCTCTCTATGTATGTGTGTCCACAGGTACATTCAAACTGGTAAATACAGTGGGATGTGACGTCATTCTTCTTCGCATGTTTGAAGGGCTTAGATAGATACATTGGCTTCACATTCTCAATTATTATGATATTAGCTACACAAAAAGTATTTTTAACAGCAGCGTCCAATCTTTGTCTAGTTATGAGGCTGGTATGATGCCCTATATAGGTCACCTTGATATACACATCTTTCTTAGGGTGAGTTGTAGAGTGGTTCTTGGTGGTCCACTGACTACTTTATATCTCCTAATGAACTTGTCTGGATAATTATTTAACTCATGGAAAATTCCCATTGTAACATTTAGAAAATCAAAACAAGTGATTCAGCGAAGAGACTCTTTTCAACGAATTTATCATCAAGCTGTACAGTCGTATATACATATATGGTTTTTCAGATATGGATAATTATTATCGACCAGAGTTTCGTGTGCCAACTTTCTTCAGTGTATATTCGTTGGATTCTACTGAAGAGAACAAGGAGAATTAGCTATGTTAGATTGTAAGATAAAAAGAATAGAAGAAGGCAAACTACACACTAGTCTTTATAGAAAACCAACGCATTCTAATAGATATTTAGACTTTAATTCGTCTCATCCTTTAACTGTTAAGGCAGGCTTAGTTAAATGTTTAACAAACCGAGCAGTGGCACTATGTAGCACAAAAAACGATCTAAATGATGAATTAAAACAGATAGAAGAAGCGTTGGTGTTGAATAACTATCCTATAAAATTCACTAGGAAGATCATTAAAGGCCAAAAACAAAATAAAAATAATTGTGAAACTAGTAATAATAACATAAATGAGAAAGAATATAAGTCATCCACAGTTATACCATATAAAGAGGGGACATCTGAGACACTACGTAGGATTCTGAATAAAATAGGAATTAGGGTGGCATTTAAACCTACAAACTTATTCAGGTAGGAGAAGCTCTGTAGGTTAAAGGACCCAGTTGACCCAATTAGACAAAATAATATTATTTACAAAATACCATGCAATGACTGTGAGTTAGGTCAGCTACATAGGTCAAACTAGTAGGTCAGGGGTAGTCAGATTGTCAGAGCATAAGAATTTAGCTAAGGTAAGAATGGTTGACCCTGAAAAGATAAGTAATTTAGAAAAAAGCTCAGCAACTGCAATGCATGCGCTAACACACAACCACACAATAGGGTGGAAGAGGGTTAAAATTCTAAAAAGTAATCTAGGTAGGTGGAGAGCGAGAGAGGTTGATTACTGAATCCTTGTTCATCGAGTCTACACCCAACACATGCAATAGGAATGACTCGTCACTCATACCTGAAATATGGAAAATACTATTACCAATCAAATCAAGTGAAAATCAAGAGAAAAACAATGGAACTATATAAATGAATTTAGGAGATCGTGTGATTACCTTGATATGATTATGAGCAATAAATTGTGCTCGAAACGTCATCAGTTCATATAAGTGTAAACACTGTGCGATTTATCAAAATAAAAATCTTATCTATAATGGAATTATACTCTACCACAGTGCCCAAGTTTTATACTTATATCAATAATACTGAAGAGGCATTTTACTAAAGCCCAGACAAATTACGTCTTCTTATTGCTTTATCTAAATTCATAAAGGGAACTAAGTGCTTTAAATTTATCAGTTATATTTAATATATATGTCGAAAATATATTTAAAATTCTCAGAAATGTAAAAATTATATACACATATATACATATATCACTTATTGCGCTAAAAAAACATAAATTTGTAATTTCACAAGAGTTGTTGCATAACTACCCACTACCCACAAACTATCGATACACATGCAGGCATAAATCACGCAGAATTTAGACAAAAACTACGCATATAAATGGTGCTATATTATCTATATGTATGCATATATATATAAACAGTGTGTTTTTATAGGTGAATACAATTCCACACTTACTAACTAACTATACACTTCTCTTAAACAATGGATTTGAAGTACACTTTCTACAAGATCACGTTTTTATGTATTTTTGTCAGTTTAACTGGTAAGTGTTGATGTAATAAGAATGTTTAACTTGTCACTCTATTGAATGACATCACTAAATGACTAGTGGTATGCAATAGCCTCCTTTAGAAGGCTAAGTTTTTGTGTAAATTTGACACTAGTTAGTAGTTAGTGTAATGTTTCTAGTCTTTTAATTGTTTAGTGCAGACTGAATTCTATCGCCACCATTACACTAGATGTCCAAACTTAGGTCCAAAACTTTTTGCTAATTACCTCCAACCATCTAATATCATCACTTCACAGTGTATAATGATGCTGAACCTCTGATAGACTTCAATCTGTACCAAAACATCATTATTAGTATTTCCTTTAGATCCTAGAGGAACATAGCACTTCAGCCGCACGTCTCCATTGCATTTGGTTCGCTGCTCAAGTTTTCACCTGGCTCCAAGTCTGCCCACATGCTTTCACCTCCTTTTCACATGACCTCCTCCAAGCCACCCTTGGATGACCAATTAACTCTCCGCTTCCCTTTCTGGTTCCACTCGAGCAATGGCTTGTCTAGTGATGTCACTTGATGGTTTGTTTTCTCAAAATATGGCCAATCCATCTCCATTTCTTCCTGCTTATTTGTTGCACAATCGGTTCCTGCTGGGTTGGTTCGCTCACTGACAGAGACCCCTGTTGCTGATCTTTTCTGGTCGGTCATCTGATCTTGAGTAGTACTGAGCAAAGACAGCTGTTAATGAAGGTGTGTAGTTTGTTTGAGGTGCTCTTCATGACGCGCCAAGTCTCTGATGCGCATTTAAGCATTGACTGAATTCATATTCGAGTTGAAAATCCGAATCGTATTTTTCACGCTAGGTACAGAGTGTTGACCTCCACACAGACTTGAGAGAAATGAAAGCTTGCCTTGTTTTCCCAATCTTCACCTTGATGTCCTCGTCAGTTCAGTTGGCCTGTAGTTGAAACAATACTTCCTAGGTAGGTGTATTAGGTTGTTTCTTTCAGGTTCCTCCAATTTATGCTGATTGTCATTTCAAAGGGAAGGGGGATAGTAGAACCAGATTAAATTCCGCCTTATTCCATCATCTCTTATTCATACAATTTAGATTCTATGTATCATATGAAGTGCTATGGATATCAGATGTTTCTTGTGAATTTTTGGGGTTTGTTTTCCGAATAATTTCGGTGTTATCAAAAAACACTTTTATAGCCTGATTCTATAGTGTGTAGACCTATGACTGACGGTGTCTTTCCCCCCGGGTTTCTCCAGTTCCACTGGATTTCTTAGTGATCGAATAAAGGCTAGACAGTTTCCGCTTCTTATGTTCTTGATTTCCTGAAAGGTTTATCCAGTTTTTTTTTTTACAGAACACAATCAGATTGTGAATCCTTTGGAATCTGGTCTTTGACATGAAGACGGTGGCTTTTCAGTGTGTTTTATATTTTCAAAAATATAACGCCGATGTCGTTTTTATCGAATACTCTCGAATGCCGTTGTGATATAATCACTTTTGGTCAATCATAGACTCACTACGAATTGAATCTAAAAGCGCATTATTCAAATCCTAATGATAAGCACATCTGACATATTCTTTCACTAAAAAAATAACTTGTGTGATGATATAATAATAATAATTATTATTTTCCCTTCACGTTCCCAGTGGAACATAGGGCTCCAAGCTAGTGGCTTGAAGTTTCTGTAGTAGTGTTTATTTTTACAGGATCGGGTTGCTAGCCTCATGCCCAACCGTTCTTCTTTACCAGCATTATTTCTGGCTCAGTGAGGTAAAGGAGTGCGCCGGTGGCCGGGCTCGAACCCCGGACGATGTGCATGGTCGGCGAGCGTCCTAACCGCTATACCACCGACGCACTTGTGTGATGATATGATGACTGATAACTGCTGCTTAGGAGATTAAAGTCGATGCCACAGTAGAATTCTACAGGAATTACTCATATATTACTACCAAGGAGCCCTATCACCCAAAGGTCAGATGATCGCAATCACTCATCAGTCTGATTCACAGAAATGAACGATTCCACAATTCCTATTAGAAGGTTTTGATCAGTGAAGTACGATGACACTTTCTTTCCAGTGATTCAGTAAGCTGCCTTTAGATCGACTTGGGAGCAATTGTTAGCAGTGATGTTGATAGTAGATTTGAAATGACTGCTTTATATATATAGAGAGAGTACAACGAAAGTTTTGAGAACAAGGCGATTGAAACAGAGATGCACTCCACCATATATTTGTCTTTGGATTATTCATCTTGTCAAGAAGATGGTTTGAATATGAGTCGCTAACGGAGTGGTTTAACAACATTATTTTCACAGAATTATACAATTGTAACTACACTCATAACTCCTTCCTTCTACTAAGAATTTACGCTATGTTTTATAACTAACTGATTATAGAAACCAACAAAAATTAAAGTACCCATCTTAAAGATGCTATAAATAATGAAAGTGTATAGTGTAAAGTCATTGGAATTCACATTAGTTTATCATGTTGACTGCTCTAAACTAAATGGCTTCTTATCGGAAATTAGCCAATGGTCCAAGGAAAACGGTCTAACCTTAAACCCCTCCAAATGCCAAACAGTTAATTTCACCCTTAGGCATAAATCTGACCTAAACAAACTGGTTAGCACTCACGAGGTGTGCAACATAGATGGCAGTGAAATAGAAACCAAGTCGGAAATTAAATATCTAGGCGTCACTCTATCTTCTGATCTTTCCTGGTCGTCTCATATCTTGACGATTTCCAAGAAAATATACCGTCTTACCTTCTACATCAAGAAGTTAAGACATTCTGGTGTAACCCAACCCTTACTCTTACAATTTGTTAACTCCCGTATTCTGCCTATTATTCTCTATTGCTCCCCCTTAGTCTTTCCTGGGCTATTGAAGAAAGACTATACCTTATTACGTAGGATGTTAAAGGTTGTCAGCAGGGTACGCAGTTTGCCACTTAGCCAGCTTGTTAATATTCTGGTGGACAGGCATATGGACTCATGTGAAAAATGGGCGAAATCCATTTTATCTGACTCACAACACCCTCTACATTCACAACTCTCCCCATGTATCTCTTCAGGGAAAACGAGAAGCCTATATAGGAAACTATATGCCCGCACTAGTAAGTACAAAAACTCATCCATACCCTACCTAGCCCGTGTTCTGTGCGATAGAGAATGCATCAGGCATGAAACCTTTAACTTATTAAATAGTCAGTAGAACCAATGGATCTCGTCTTTCCAACTCACATCATTTATAGGTACAACGTTTTCTCGCTCTTCATTCTGTATTTTATTTTTGTTATGTGCTGTTTTGTTTCTCTCTTCCTTGCAAACTCTACTTAAAATATTCTTGTTCGTTCTTTCACACTCTGTATATCTCGACCATTTTGCTATCGCTTACGCCAGTAAATATGCTAGTAGTATCTACTCTTCTAACACCTTCAAACACTTTAATTTTGGCTTTACTACCGACATACTAATATGTTGTTGAGATAACTTTAATCTATGTAGAACTTTATTACTTGTTAATGTAAAAACTGGATGCAATATTGTAGTAAAATGCTGAGAATTCTATTCTGTATCACAAGTACTGATTTGGAATAAAGCTTATGTTATGTTATGTTACTTGTTTAGTCGTATGTTTTAGTTCTATGCTTTACTGGTGAACGTTTGCTTGTTTTCAAGTTTGTTTTTATTTGTTAGTTGCAGTTGTTCTTTAACCTTCTAAAGATTATATACCGGAAATTTGACTATTCAAATAACAGTGGATATTTTAAGATATTGTGGGAAATTTCAGGTTCACTAGTTGAGTTCGAGTTGCTTCCTAACATTTGCATAGGACACGGGGTTTTGTAGTGTTACAAGATGTTCTTAGGCAGCTATAGACGCACCATGTCACAGAAAAATTAAGAAGAACAATAGGGTTCTTGATATGTAGCGTTACTTTGAAGTTTTCCTTTTTACCATAGATAGAAGTGAAAATTTATGAATATTATTTCACACAGAAAGTCAAACAAGAACTATCAGTGTATTTTTAAACACTCAACAGGAGTTATTTGAATAAATAAAGAAAATAACCAAGGAGTGATTTACAGTTAATCTTTACATCCATATAGAGCACAAATGTCATGGGTTATAGAATCAAAACATCCCAAAGAATTTCATGATTTGCATTTTTCAAGTGTTGGTTTTGTAGGGATTTGGTTTGATTGTATGGAAGATTTAATCATGAGCTGACATCATTTAGAGAACCACTGGAAAACCAACTGGGAGTACTGGACAGCCAACTGTTTCGTCCTAGTTTGGGACTCCTCAGCAGTACGCACCCACCGGGGTTCGAACCCAGGACCTTCTGGTTACAAGGAGAGCTCGTATACCGTTGAACCACTGGACCTGATCCAATGGTTCTTGAATTCTAACCTCTGCCAATTCACGACATAGCGCGACCACTTCGCAATGTCTTCTTCGATGAGTTACTGCCTCATCTTCAACCTGCTGTACCCTACTGGTCTTGTTTATTGTAAGTAGGGAAAAATCAATTTCAGTCGATTTTTTCCCTGTGAGTGTAGTCATCTCACTTATAAATTTGGAATCTAGAAATCAGAGTCCTAACCGTTTTTTACAATTCAAGGGTAAAATTGATGATGATGTATTGACAGAAACTAAAAATGTTTGAAAACAAATTGTCGTTTATCAATTTTAATAGACCCACTTACATAACACCCACATGACAGTCCATAAATAGCTGACTTAAGGAAGGATTTGTCACGGTACCATCTTCCCGGTGGTAATTCACATCATGGAGTATTAATGAACATGCAGAGGTCTGGCACTGTAAAATTTATTCGTTATTTTTCTTTTTGTCTGTATTTAAATTAAGTGGTTTGCGTGAATAGGACATTGGCGAAGAGTGACCTGATATCAGGTGATGTGTCATTAGCAATGTTAAATACTTTGACTAATATTACTGGGTTCATTTGAACTTCCAGACTCAGTCAAGTGCATAAAGCGGCTTCGTGTG